GCTGATTGGACAGCTTGTAGACAGCTTGTGGTAGGACTTCTGCCTTGTGACCATATGAGGTAATTCCTGTAATAAATCCCTTTTTTAAAAATAAAGTTTTAATTGCCAGAGGGCGCATGTCCCCTCCAGAGGGAAGGCATGTGGGGCATGTTCATGCCGTAATCTTTCTCTGTGTCCATCCTGTCAGGATTTGAGGCATGCACACACGTGTGCCTGGTGTGCTTTCTGAGCCACCAGGACGAGGACTCGAACTGTAACCAGCCATCTGGGCTCTGGCTCTGCATACACGAGCTTCCTACTGTGCTGCCCACCAGCCTTCCTTTTTTTTTTTTTTTGGAGAGGTTTTTGCTATAGGGCGTGTGCACTCGCCAGAAAGAGACAGAGACAGAAAGCGAGAAATCACCCCCAGGGGTGCCCAAGATCCCCTTCTCCTCTGGGGATCTTGGGCACACACGCATACACGCCCAGTGTGAGTTTAAGCCACCAGGTCCAGGACTCGAACTGCAGTCGACTACATGGGAGTCCAGCGACATAGCCATTACACCAACTCCTGGTCCCCAGCCTCCCTTTTACACACACAAACACTGGTCCTGCTAGTTCTGCTTCTCTGGAGAACCCTGACTGGCACAGTCCCTAACAGTCTTAGCTCTTCTCAAGCAGAGGAGAGGATCCACCATGGAGACCGGGGGCAAAGGAGCCTCTGAGCCACCAGACTGAGCCAGGGGGCTTGAAGGGACATGAGAGAGAGACCCCCAGCAAGGATTTCATGCTGTGATCCACAGCATGATGTGAGGAATCTCTGGGGGGATGGCCATGCTGCAATCTCTTCATTCTCCCCTCGGGATTTTGGGCACGCACGTACATGCGCCTGGCATGAGGTTTAAGCCTCCGGATCCAGAACTCAAACTGTGGCCAACTATATGGGAGTCCAGTGATGTAACCATTATGCCATCTGCTGATCCCAGTATCTTTATTTTTTTAAGTAATTTAAGTGATCTCATTTTTTGCTATTTCTCATGAATTTCATGTGATTAAACTCTTGAATCTGAAATTTGCTTTTTATGGACTGAAGACTTAAACAGGATGGCTGTCAGATTTAAAATGTAGTTCGATTTCCTATATACAATGAACAAGAGTTTATTCCACGGGAGAACAGATTACATTGTAGTACTTAACCCAAAACTCACACAGTTCACCCAAAATTAAGGTACAGTCTCCCTCAGGATTATGTAGCTTTCCCTGAGTTATGAATTCAACATTCGAGAATTTTCTTTTGGTAGCAAGAGCGGCAGAGAGGACAACAGTGGAAAGGAGACTTCTCGCCCAAGGAGAACTCCTCGAGAGCCAGGAGACAGGCGTGGTGGAACACGTGGGAGCAGGACAGGAGCACTGTCTCCCGTGGCCGCCGGCCACCGCTCGTCCCCGCAGACGTGCCCTGCCAGTCCCTGCGGAGTGACAGCGGGGTGAGGCAGATGGAGCACTCGGAGGACTCCCGGTGAAGAGCCTGCAGCAGGGAAGATGAGCTTGTCAGGAGAGGCTTAGCTTCATTGTCACAGAAAGGTACTTAGTTTTGAACAAAACATTCATGTGCATCGCTACCTAGCTACGGGTCTAGGAAGATGCAGTGTAACGAGTCTTTCTGGTAATTAGCTGGCCCCCCTCAACCATTTGTCACTGCTTGTGTTGGGGACATCGAAAGTCCTCCATTACTTACTTCGAGATACACCGGGGCAAGTCTGCCGCCTGTGCTGTCCCCACTGTACTTGTAACACCCTGACCTGTCACTCTGCTTCTGCAAACCGCACCCCCACGTCCCCGCGTCCTTCCCGCCTCTAGCAGACATTCTTCCTCCCTCCACCTCTCCGAGCCCGTTTCATCCGTTTCCACATATGCGGGCGAACGAGGTATTTGGCTCTGTGCCTGGCTCACTTCACACGCCCTCCAGGCTCGCCCGGGGAATGTCAAGTGACAGGCTTTCGTTCCTTTTAGTGGCTGGGTCGTATTCCACTGTCTCCGCCCCACCTTGTCTCTGTCTGCCAGCTGATGGACATGAAGGTTCCTCACGTGTCCTGGCTGCTGTGACGTCTCAGTGAACACTGGGGTGCGGCTCTCTCCCCAGCATACTGGCTTTCTTTCCTTTGGAGCTGTACCTAGTGGACATGTTTCTAGACCACATGAAGCTCTTTTCCCGTCTCCATTCTCCTCTCAGGATCTTGGGCACGCACGTACACATGCCCGGCATGATTCCCGAGCTGCCACTTCGGGAACTTGAGCCACAGTCAGCCTTGCTGGAGCCCAGTGCCCTAACCACAACGCCCCTCTGGCCCCCAGCCACACAAGTTTTGCTTCATTTTTGGAGAAAGTCTCCATGCTGTTTCCCGTGCCATTCCCACCAACGATGTAACAGAGTGCCCCTTTTTCTGTATCCTTGCCAGCTTTTTTTTTGTCTTTTGAATAATAGCCAGTCTAAGCAGAGTGAGATATGTCCTTGTTTTGATCTGCATTGCCCCTATGATAAGTGATGTTAATCATTTTTGTTTGTTTGTTTGTCTGCCTGTTGTATTGTCTTCTTTGGTGAACTGGTTATTCAGGTCATTTGATTACTTTTTAAATTGGGAATATGGAAAGTCAAAGATAAAGAGAGAATTTTGAAACTATGCAGGCCCAGAGAAAATGGGATGACCTATTCAAAATACTAAAAGAAAAAAACTACCAACTAAGACTACTATACCCCGTAACTGTCACTCACCCTAGAAAGAGAAATCCAGGCTTTCTTAGACAAGGAGGACTTGAGGAAGTCCGCCTCGCTAGACTGGCCTTCCAAGAAATCTTTGCGGAGTCCTGCATTTGTGAGTAGAGGGCAGTAAGTAGACTAGACAGGTGGATGAGGGGCACAGAAGAGTCAGAGCCTGTTCCTAGAACAGACGGTCAAGCCAGTCCACAATAGAGGAGGTTTTGAAAAGGAACAAAGTACCAACAACATGACAGGAGTAAGTTACTTAAATTTATACCTCTTCTAAAAATGCAAGTTTCATTCTGTGTTAAAATAGCGTTTATTAGACCGGCTGGTGTGGTGTGGTGGCCAGGGCTCTGGGGCACTGGCTTCTCATGAGGCTGGCTGCAGCCTGAGTCTCGGACCTGGTGGCTTGCTCTCGCATCTCCCTTCCCTCCCTCCCTGTCTGTCACTCTCTGGTTGAGTAATCATCATAATAATCATTAGAAAATTAAATAAAGTTTCATATATATGTGATATAAATGTGTATATATGTTTCATATACATGTATGCGTGTGTGGTGGGGCTGTGAAGTGATGAAACCTTTGCACTTCGCGTGAAATCTGTCACGTCTGTGAGACATGGGAAAGAAAAGTAAGCCATCCTTGATAAGCCACTTTAAAACAGAAATAGTTTCTGAAATACTCCACACTCACTTCCTTTCAATGAAGCAGTACGCAGTAGTACTTTTCAAAACTTATTAGCCTATGTAACTACTAAACTTTAAAAGTTCTCCTAATTTTATGTTTTTTCAGTGGTGTGTGTATATATGGTACATGCATGGGTGTTAGGTGTATGAGTGTATGTGTGTGTATATGTGGTTTATGTATGTGGTGTATGTATGGGGTTTATATGTGTGTGTTGCGTATATATGTGGTGTGTGTATGTATGTGTTGGATGCGTGAACATACATATAGTTTGTGTATACATGGTACATATGTGGGTGTTGGGTGTATATGTGCATATATGTGGTTTATGTGTGTGGTGTATGTATGGGGTTTATATATGTGTGTTGAGTATATATGTGGTGTGTGTATGTATGTGTTGGATGTGTGAACATACATACAGTTTGTGTATACATGGTACATGTATGGGTGTTGGGTGTATGAGTATATGTGTGTATATGTGGTTTCTGTGTGTGGTGTATGTATGGGGTTTATATATGTGTGTTGAGTATATATGTGGTGTGTGTATGTATGTGTTGGATGTGTGAACATACATACAGTTTGTGTATACATGGTACATGTATGGGTGTTGGGTGTATGAGTATACGTGTATATATGTGGTTTCTGTGTGTGGTGTATGTATGGGGTTTATATATGTGTGTTGAGTATATATGTGGTGTGTGTATGTATGTGTTGGATGTGTGAACATACATACAGTTTGTGTATACATGGTACATGTATGGGTGTTGGGTGTATGAGTATATGTGTGTATATGTGGTTTCTGTGTGTGGTGTATGTATGGGGTTTATATATGTGTGTTGAGTATATATGTGGTGTGTGTATGTATGTGTTGGATGTGTGAACATACATACAGTTTGTGTATACATGGTACATGTATGGGTGTTGGGTGTATGAGTATATGTGTATATGTGGTGTCTGTGTGTGGTGTATGTATGGGGTTTATATGTGTGTGTTGAGTATATATGTGGTGTGTGTATGTATGTGTTGGATGTGTGAACATACATACAGTTTGTGTATACATGGTACATGTATGGGTGTTGGGTGTATGAGTATATGTGTGTATATGTGGTGTCTGTGTGGTGTATGTATGGGGTTTATATATGTGTGTTGAGTATATATGTGGTGTGTGTATGTATGTGTTGGATGCGTGAACATACATACAGTTTGTGTATACATGGTACATGTATGGGGGTTGGGTGTATGAGTATACGTGTATATATGTGGTTTCTGTGTGTGGTGTATGTATGGGGTTTATATATGTGTGTTGAGTATATATGTGGTGTGTGTATGTATGTGTTGGATGTGTGAACATACATACAGTTTGTGTATACATGGTACATGTATGGGTGTTGGGTGTATGAGTATACGTGTATATATGTGGTTGTAGGGAATATGTGTACGTGTTGAGTGTGTGTGTATGTATGGTTTTTATTTTTAATTTTTAGGTTTTTACTATAGGACGTGCATGCTTGCCAGAGACAGACAGACGGAAAGTGAGAACCATCCATCAGCGGGAATAACCACACCAGAGTCCCTTCTCCATTCTCCTCCTGGGATTGCGGGCATGCATACACACACGCCGGGTATGATTTTTAAGCCACTGGGTGCCGGACTCAAACCGCGGCGGGCCATGTAGGAGTCCAGTACCTGAACCACCATGCCATCTACTGGCCTGGTACTTTAGACAGGCTCTCACCAGGCACAGTCCTCCCATCTCAGCCTGCACAGAGCTGGGGTCACAGACATGTCCACCGTGCCTGGCCTTGAGGGTGGGCTTGGAATTAGACGTGCTGCCCGTGTGGCCTCAGCTGGCCGAGTTGGTACCTCGGGCATGCCACTGGGGGTGGGCCTACGTGTCTTTTAGAGGACGTTCTCCATTGGTCTCAGCTTTCCAGTCGTGTCCTTCTCTTCCTGGGGGCAACTAGAGGTGGGAGAGGAGGTAGGGAGGACCAGGAAGGTGGCGTGTATTCTGGCGTGTGTGCATGTGCGTGTGTGGTTTATATGTGTGTACTGGGGGTAGGGATGGATGTGCTATGTGCGTATATATGTGGTTTATGTGTGTAGGGCCAAGTGTGTGTGTAATGTGTGTTGTGTAGTGTGTGTATGTGGTTTACATGTGTGCTGGGATGTGAGCATGTATGTGGTATGTATGGGTGTGAACTGGGGGTGTGAGCATGTGTGATATGTGTATATGTGTGTGTATGTGGTTTATGTGTGTGTTGAAGTATGTATATGAGTTCATAAGTGTGTGACTTATGTATGTATTGGGGTGAATGTGTATGTGGTGAAGTATGTGTAGTGTATGTGGCGCATGTATAATATGTGTGTATTTGGTTTACATGCTGAGGGCGTGAGCACATATGTGTATGTGTGGTTTATGTATGTGTTGGTGTATGTGATGTGTAACGTGCATGCATGTGCTTTACATGTGTGTTGGGTGTGAGTACATGTGGTGCGTATGTAATGTGTGTATGTGGCTTACATGCGTGTGTTGGGTGTGAGTGTGTATGTGGTGTGTGTGTGGTGGTCTCTTCCTATTGCTGTTTTGCTCACAGAACTACATCGTCCAAACAGAATTTAAGGAATTTCACACTGAAGGGGCCCTGACAGTCATCCCAGAGCTCACAGCGAAGGCCCAGTCAAGGCAGAAATCTGCGGCCTGCCACCCCCAGGTGCCCCGAACAAGCCCTCCAGAACCCACCCCCGCTACGGGCCACGTGTCATCGCAGAGCCCTGTGGCTGTGCCGATCCCGGGGCCCAGGCAGCTGGCCCCAGCCTACCTGGATCTGGATCCTGCCCCACTCCTCCTCTGAGATCCCACGGCCACACCTCTCATCCAGCTGCTGAAGAAGGCTCCTGTTTACAGCCAAGCACTGGTCGATTTCCAAAAGGAGGGCCTCCGTGTCGGTGTGGAACGAGTGCAGAATGCGATGGCTGATCTCTGCGAACTGGGGCGTGGGCAGGGAGGCAGACTCAGGAGTGCAGGCCTCCCGAGTGGGCTGCCCGGCCGCCGTCCTCCCCGCTTCCCCAAGTCTGTCCCTGACTAAGACTCCTTAGGGGGGCAGACATGCGGCCATTCATGGTAACTTCAAATCCAGATGCCCATCTGGACAGCTTGCTGGGAAGGTCCTGTGAGGAGTCCGTGCATGCTAGCCCAAAGCACAGACCTGGCACGGGAGACGTGCCACACCACAGGGCTCTTCCCTCTGGATGGGCGTGAGGGCCAGGAACTGCCCTTCTTCCCTGACGCAGGTCATGAGATCTCAGGGGAGCCCGCCCTACACCCGAGGAAAGGGGCACCCTCATCTCCAGAGGGAGGAGCGAGAGAGAGGTCTCTGGGCCAACCCCCGCTCCTGCACCGGCACAGTTGCACTCCTGGTGTGCAAAGTGCAGCTCGACCTTCCTTCAGGCCCCCGCTGCCTTCCGAAGGTCAGCGTCAGTGCCCTTTCCTGAGTCTGCCTCCTGCTGGAGGAAGGGGCTCTCTCCCCTCCCCTCCTCTCCGGGCTGAGGCTTTAGCCTGGGCTGTTAGTGAAGAATGCATTTGAAATTCAACGTTGGGAGAAGGATTTTACAAAATTAGTGGCATTGTCCGGGGACCTAGCGCTGCTTGTTCTAGTCCCTAAGGATGTCACTAGTCTGTCACCAGGCACTTGGTGACAAGCTGGTTCACGTCTGCTCTGCAGCCACCTGTCTGCCGTGGCAGCACCCTGGACTGTCTTACTGTGGCCACGAAGAACGGCAGCCTCAGAGAACGCTCACTGCCTTCCTTTAACCTCGTTACTGCTTCTGTTTCTCCCACCACACTCCCGAATTCTGATGGCTGTATGGAGCCCTTCACATCCGTCTGAGGCATGCAACCTCCCTGGGTGCACATCCCTGGCATCAGTGGCCAGAAGGAAACAGGGACAAGCAGCCCGGAGTTCCCTTACTCGCAGGCCTGGTGAGCATGGGCTGCGGGCCAAGTGTGGCTGTGGGTCGAACGTGGCTGTGGGTCGAACGTGGCTGTGGGTCGAACGTGGCTGCGGGTCGAGTGTGGCTGTGGGATGAGTGTGGGCTGTGGGTCGAGTGTGGCTGTGGGACAGGTGTGGGCTGTGGCCAAGCATGGGCTGCAGTCCAGTGTTGTGCCAGGAGGCGGAGGGGCAGCCCAGCCCTGCACATCCAGGGCTCTGGTGTGAAGGACGTGCACAGGGCAGACACGAGTCACGCGTGCACGCGGTGCTCTTGCACGTCGAGTTGACACCATACAGTGTAACGAGTGGTAAGACCATGTCGTGATGTAGAAGTGTTTGGAGGAACATTAGCTACACTTCGGAAACGCCGTGACAGTCCGGCCCGCAGAGAGGCTAGTGTTGACTCCTTTCATGGCCCTTCTCCCTGTGTCTGTTTGGTGAGCCAAGGCAGGGAGCGCACGCAGCGCACGCAGCGCACGGAGCGCATGCCTCGGCCGGCTCACACCGCCTGCCCAGCCAGGCAGTCAGCAGGGACACCTGTGAGCTCCCTGGTGGACAGGGCGGCCGCACCGGGGACCCCTATGAGCTCCCTGGTGGTCAGGGCGGCCGCACCTACAGCTGTCCCAGCACCCCACAGCGCCGCAGGTGGCCGACGATGCAGACGGGGCGGCTCCTGGGCTGCGCCCTCAGCTCCTGGGCCGAGCTCGTGAGCCCATGAGCTCGTGTGCCCGTGTCGTGTCGGGGCAGGGCGCCTGCGCCAGCTGGGGCCATCCCAGGCGCTATGAGCTCCCTGGTGGTCAGGGCGGCCGCACCTACAGCTGTCCCAGCACCCCACAGCGCCGCAGGTGGCCGACGATGCAGACGGGGCGGCTCCTGGGCTGCGCCCTCAGCTCCTGGGCCGAGCTCGTGAGCCCATGAGCTCGTGTGCCCGTGTCGTGTCGGGGCAGGGCGCCTGCGCCAGCTGGGGCCATCCCAGGCGCCACCGTGGATCCACCACGCCTGGGCGTCTGCAGCTTCGCACCCCTGCGGGGACATGGGGACCGGGGCTGCCTTCTGTCCGCCCAGAGCCCACCTGGCCGCCTCCTCCCGCCGCCCACCTGCAGCGCTGTGCCCAGGCTGCCATCTGTCTCCCAGCCGCCGTGTGGCCGTGCAGATGCCGTGGCACATGGACCGGGCCGGCGGGGCCCTCGGTGTCTGCAGAAAAAGGCGGCGGGCGGCAGGGCCCAGCTGGTCCGCGCTGAGCGCTGAGCGGGGAGCCAGGCGCTGACGCTCAGTGAGCTGCAACTGGTAAGGTGCATTCAGCTCACCTCTCCAAGTGCTGTCTGCCCACACTAAGACCCGCACTTCCTCTCAATTTAAATCAGAAGCGTTTCTTACATGAGAAAAAAAATCCCCTTTATTTGTAATGGTGGTTAAAGATGGTTATTACATCCTATTCTAAACTAAGTTTGTGTGAGTTTGCTACTTAGTTGTCCTAGGGTAAATCACAGCCGATGAGAGCTGGGGGTGGCTCTGGAGTCCCGCGGTGCTCTGGCTGGGGCTCCCAGATCAGACACTTGCTCTTTCAACAGGGACCGGCCAGGGACCTGCGTGCTGGGGCGCCGGGCTGGGGAGACAGCACTGGAGCTGTGTGGGTCCTGCTCTCAGGAGCTCTGGTAGCTGGGAGAGCTCTAGGGAACGCAGAGGTGAGCACAGACACCCAGGTGCGGCCCTGCTCCTGCATCCTGTCACAGCTGACCTGTCCCAGGACAGGGACGCTCCCATGTAAGCTACTCCATCGGAACTTTCTGATGCTGCTTAATGCCCACAGCTCCCACCTCTCCCCTGCTCTCCACTGCCTGGCCAACCTCGTCTCAGTCCTGTGAGTAACTCGCACCCACCTCCTGGACTGTGCTCCCAGGTATGGCTGGGATCACCCAGGCCGGGGCCTAGGGCTAGAAGGGGCCGGTCTAACCCTCCCCTCCACCTCCAGCACACTCTGGCCCCTCCACGGACTCTAACATTGGCCGCACTCCTTTCCTGTGTACTTCTCGTCTCCTGCGTGAGGACCTCAGTACCTCAGTTCCACTTCTACGCTTGCAGTAGCTTAGAAATGAGGACAGATACACTCCCCGAGCATACAGAATGCAAAAGACTGCAGGAGTTCTCTTAGAGAGGAGTCAAAACAAAAACAGAATGATTTTGAAGCTATTTTCAGTGTCAGAGTCAACAAAATATCATTTAGCTTAATCCCAGCGTGGACCTTAGCGTCTTAATACACCCCGTGGAGCCCCTCAGTGCATGCGTGCACATGGCAGGTCTCTAACCGGGATCTGGTGTAATGTTCCACTCTCGTAGCTTCAAGTACTCAAAAACAAGGGCAGTATTTTTAAAGTCGAATCACACATGTTGTCTGAGCACTACTGTGATCAGTTCAGAACAGCCTCGGGCGGCTGCTCGGGCGGCTGCTGCTCAGCATTCCGAAGTGCTGAGCCCTTGAGTACCAGCGCTCTGCTCCTTCCCCTGCTCCCCACTTCTCACCTGAGCCCCAGGACCTTCGGAACTACACGTCAAGAACTGGCAAACATAAGTAGACAAAACTGACAACTGAATTCTGATTCCTGAACTACTGGTCCATATTATCAAACCTACCTACAGAGACAAAGCACTTAAAACTTCCATCTCAAAGACAGTGTGTGCCTTAATATGCTTTGAAGCCTCATACTTGAGATCAGGGTAACTTAAGTAACTAGCTAAGCCTTTGGGTATTGATATGTAAAGCAGTTACCGGTCATTTACGAGTAACACACTGGCTAAACATTAAACAAATACACTAACAAAAGTACCCAGGTGAACTCTGCCTACCCAGGAGGCCTTTTAAAGTGATCCATCTTGTTGTCAGCAAATTGCTTACTAATGTGTTGACTTAGGGCCACCCTCAAAAGCAGAATGAAAAGCTTGGGATTTACAGCAGATCACGGAATCTGGTGATAAGCTTTTACTGGTTTAATATCCTTCTAGTCTTGCTGCTTGGAGCCACTTGGAGTTAGCAACAGCATGTTTGCCATTGCCATGTGATAAAGGACCCGGGACTGAGCAAACTCTCAGGCCATTACGCTGTTTGGTGAATGCAAATGAAAAGGTAAGTGAGGGGGGCCGGGTGGGGGTGGAGCGGGTAGCCCCTAAGTCAACTGCGGCCTCTGACAAATCACTAACCTCGCCTTTGAAACAATGGTCAGGACTTTTAGCTGGGGTAGAGGTAATATAATGCACTTGAAAGTTTTAATTGCAGCAATAAAAGGCCATACCTCGATGATATGACACATGCTAGCAGAGTCTAGATAAGGACCAGAGGCATTCAGGGACCAGCCACTGCACTCGCACCACGGGTGAGGCCTGAGCCGAGCAGTCGGGGCCTTCCCGGGCCCTGTGATCTAAGTTTGTCACAATGTGAGTGACCAAGTGTTCCAGGACTACTGTATCATCCTCAGACAACTCAAACACCCTCCCTGACAAGGCCTTTCTGACTGAGTCTCAGTTCTCGGAGATGTACTTACAGGCACAAAACTCAACCATTGACCTTTCCCGTTCTTTGCACAAGAGCGCAGTATATTTAAAAGAACCTGCGGGTCGAGCTACACCACTCTGCTGTGCTCCAGTTCTGTTTGGAATGTGCCAATGGTATTTTAAGGCACAGTGAATTTGTGAAAAGAAAATTCTGTGTATGAAGCATTTCAGTTTGTAGAAAGATGACCCCTGTATTTGTATTAACTGGCTGGCACCCAGTAAACTAGGGAGAGCTTTATTAATGCTCCCTGTAACTCAGAGTGAAAATCTGAGATCACTTGTTCTTCTCCAAGAAAAACAGGGTAACTTACAGAGTGGCCCGAACTAGCCCAATCTACAGTACTAAAGACCATATCCACTCCATGAGATTTTGAAATGCATTACAGAAATAAGCACTTTTTTTGGGAACCAGCAGTTAGCGTAATGGCTATGTCGCTGGACTCCCACGTAGTCGACCGCGGTTCGCGTCTCGGACCCGGTGGCTTAAATCTCACGCCGGGTGCGTGTGCGTGCGTGCCCAAGATCCTGAGAGGAGAATGGAGGAGAAGGGATTGCAGCGTGACCATCCCCCCTGGGGGGTGATTTCTCGCTTTCTGTCTCTATGTCTCTGTCTGTCTGGCGAGCGCACGCGCCCTATAGCGAAAACCTCTCCAAAAAAAAAAAAGAAATAAGCACTTTTTTTTTTAAAGAGAGATTTTGGCTATAGGACACGGTAGAGACAAGAGAGACGGCGAGAAATCATCCCCCAGGGGGATGGCCATACCATAATACCTTCTCCTCCATTTTCCTCTAGGGAGTTCGGCACACATGCACATGCGTCCAGCCTGAGTTTTAAGCTGTTGGGTCCAGAATTCAAACTGTGGTCGATTATGTGAGAGTCCAGTGACGTAACCATTACACCATCTGCTGGTCCCTCTCTTTTTTTCTTTTAAAGAATATTTTACTTCATTTATTATCATCATTATTAGCTATTTAATTTGATCAGAGAAAGAGAGAGAGAGAAAGGGAAAGTCAGAAAGTAAGCCTCCAGGTCTGGGACTTGAACCATGGTCAGCTAGGTGGGAGTCCAGTGCCTTAACCACCATACCACCTGCCAGCCCTACAAGCATTTCTTAATTTCTTGTGTCAAAAATATTAAATTGACCATTATCACTCTCTGCTTTCTTTTCTATTGATTACAGTTCTTTTTTGTTGAAGGTCATTTATCTTGATCTAAACCAAATTTGTGAGGAACCATACTTGTTCCTAAGTATGGCAAAGAAGTTTCCACCCATATGCTAGCAAAGAAAAAAAGGAAACTGCAATACGAAATACCCTGCAGTGTGCAGTCGGTACTTCCTACTTTTCTGGTGTTACAGTAGTCTCTTTCCGTTTATCTCTTTACGGGGTGGTAACTTGTTGTGGGGTGCGGGCATTCTGAGCACACGGAGCATTTGGTCTCGGGTGACGTTCACAAGCAGCTCCACGTGACTGCTGGCACTGGAGAGACGGGAACACCTCAGTGCGCAGAGTCCCGGGTCTGCAGGAGAGGGGACTGCTTTCACGAGCGTTACAGGGATGTGTTTTTTTTTTCCACTGTAACCCAAGCATTTGTTGTTTAATAGGGAAATTTATCTCTTGCATATTTGTTGTA